AGACAAGTACCAAGCAGTTCACAAGGCCTTAACAATTGGAATAAGACTTTAAAAATATATTTAAGCCTTGGCTTTACAGCAAATTACATTCTCCCATTTTTGTTATCCCCTGCTGATTCCTATGACAATAATTAGCCATCTCTCTTGCTCTTCTCCAAGGACTAACAGCCTTTTCGCCTCCTGCCTTGAAATATCCTCCTCCGCTCAGCAGGTACTAACTGCCCTATTCACTCAATTTGACTATCCAGATAACGTAATAAATTAAACTCTAAACAACTGTTTCTAATCTGTAATTTGCTGAAAGCTGATAACTCTCAAAAAGGCCTTTTTGCTCAAAAATGTGTAAATTTTTTCTGCATATGTCAATAAAAAATATGTCAATATGTCTCTCCCCAAAAGACTCGTTTTACTTGTGGTCATCAAAACTATCAAAATCCTAACATAAAGTAATTTTTACATCAAGAAAAGGAGAGTTTATTATTATAGCTACATGCCAGATTAAATATTTACAGACTGAAAGTCTTCAGAATTGCAGACAAAGCTAACTGAAATCAATGGGAAAACTGTCATTCAAATGGACTATTTCAAGACCTTGATTGAGGTGACACAATTTCTTCCAAAACAATCCTGTTTCACCAGTCAACAATAAAATGGGACTTTAAAATGAATGTTATTTATACAGACTTTCTTACTATTCCACATTGTAGGTAGGATGTGAAGGAGGCTCATCAAAAGACCCAGAGAGTAGACAGAAGAAACCGTAAAAACCTCTTTTTACAGGAACCAAATATTTCTGTAATCTGAGCTCACCTGTCTTATCTAAAGAACAGCAAACTCAGTTCTCCTTTTAATGTGCATGTATGAACTACACTCACTAAGAAATTGAGTAAAGCTTTTTTTTTTTTTTTTTTAATAATAAATTCAACTTAGTCCTGGAGGAAGTTGTGAAAAGTATCACTAAATAGTTCTGACATTTTCTATTTATGATTCTTATAGTCTGATTGCAGGACAAAAGCTAATGAAAAATATCAAGGGGAAAAAAAATAAAAAATTCTATCTCCTGGTTCTCCAGACCCTAGTAGGAGCTTTCTCAAATCACCAGCCTGATACTCACAGCTATATCAACACTTGCAGCAGCACTTTGGTAGAATGACACGTGTGTAGACAGGTAAACTCCTCTCAAGATGAAGATATCTCAAATCAGCTTAATAAAATAGTATGTTTGGATTCTCTATAAAGGGAATGAATTATTAGTTTACACTCTCCTGTCACTAGGTACCTTTCCTTGCTCTTTGATGCTAGCAATTGGTTGTTTCCCTGAGGCACTACAGTGATGTATTTACATGTCACCACATCCCTTGCTGTGCTGAATTGTCACTCCCAAATTCAACATGGCAAGCTGACGTAGAAATTCAAGCATATCTGAGAGCTGACAACTTCTGCCTTACAAATATCCTGCACTCCTCTTAAATGAGTGCAGGGTTTGCTCTGCTAAATAAAAATACAACTCCACTTCCTATTAAGCCCGAAGGTAATGGAAGGGAAAAAGGGACAGGGTTTTCCTCAGTTTCAGTGAGTGCATAGGGAAGAGCACTGAGAACATAAAACACAGCATCTGTTCATGACCTCTCCATTTCTTTTTTTCGGTTAGATAGCTCTAATTTTGGCATCACAAATTAGTGACACATGGAAAGACTTTAGACTCAGGGCAACAGTCACATTAAAGCAGTTTCTAAAGGTGCAACCTGAAACTAGCGGTGGTGGCTAGATTACTGTAGCTATTTTCAGGATGGTATATCTATTTTTCTCTTAACTATTCCCTCAGCCAGACGTATTTAGTAATTCTCAATGGATTTCTCTTCCTAGAACTTGTCCCTTCTTCCTCGAACTTGTCCCTTCTTCCTCCTGTATCTACGTACACTTGATAAAAAAAAGAAAGAAATCCTTCAATGAGGAATTCATCATCCCAGATATCACCAGGGCACATATCCTCCACGAAGGACAATTCCCCTTCTGCGTCTTGTACACATGGCTCCTATAAACTCATTTTCCTGTCCCTAACTACTTGCCCAAGAAGTGCAAGTAACTGATGTATGATTTCTTGCAACGGACAGCCTGCTCTGCTTTTGTGCTCAGAAGACAGCCAGTAAATAGTGAAGATCTTCAGATTATTACTTTAATGCATTTTCTGCAGCTTCCTAAGGATTCAGCCTGATGATCATGACAGTAGTAATTATAGAAATTTGACTTCTCATAACCTCTTGCAATTAAAACCAGTAATCACCTCAGTGAGCAAATAAGAGAACCCCTATAATTTCTCCACACTCAATGACCTAGGGGCAAAAAACCCAACAAACAGCAAAAAACCCTCCCCAGAAAACCCAACCCCACAACATCCCATCAGCCCGTCCAAACAGATAGGGCTACCACATAGAGAGGCTAAGTATCAGGCAATATAAAACCAGAATATTGAAGACAAGTTTCATTTCAAAGAGATATGCTGCCTTGTTGTCTTGAGATGTCTTCTCAACGGGATTTATTGCAAGTCTGACAACTTCACATGAGTTACAGAAAAGAACAGGTGGAATGATAATTCCAGCCACCACACAAGAGTACAATATGTAGTATAGTAATCTGTTATTGACAACCTGTAGTTTCTTCTGATGTTAAATGTAGCTGATTTGGGACCATTATTTATAAGGAACCACTTCATAAGAGGAAATCTACACCTCCAAAGCTGATGTATCATTCTCCTGCTTGTGTGAAAGATGTCAACAATAAAAAACCCAAAGTTAATGGCTATGAAAACCCACAAGTTTGGCTCACTGTGTCAACATTCACAAAGGCACGGAATGAATTTGAAGTCTCCCTCCCTTTTGGACGCAAAAACTAGCGTCTCTCAACATTAATGGCTTTCTAGTCCCAAACTAGCCAGTCTGTCCTCAAATATCTTTTGTTAGGATACAAAGGTATTGTGGGAACTAACAATGCAGAACCACCTGGCCATCTCCAGCTTGTGGGGAGGGAACACAAGTACACAACACATTATTGAAATAAGTGATTCCAAGTCCCTGCTATATTTAATTCTTCTTCTGTGCTGTTCCTATCATCGCATTTCCACTCCAGACAACCTTAGCAACTAGAGAGACATGAAACAGAGAAGCTTGTAGCTCCTTGGGGATATGGATTGTTGCTTGAAAACCTCAATGAACTTTGAGTAAGAGCATTTACCACAGAGTAAGTCTAGCAGGCAAAAGACTACATTTAGCAATAACAAGTTACTTTAATTTGAGAAAGTAAATTGCTAGAGAATGGGGAAGAGCAAGAAGATGGGAGAAGGAGATCAGCCTGTGAAATCTGGAAGTACCTCAGAGTTTCTAGAGAAGATAAATAGCTGTGATAGAAATGAATGTTGGAAACAACAGGTTTACTGCTTCCTATGGAAGGATATTCACCTAAGATTACAAGGTGCTGTGACTGTGGCGACCTTTCTGTGTGCTTTGCATACACAATGTCAGACACAGCACATAGCAGCTCATAAATCTTGCAAAATGCCATAGAGCAGCCCACCTTTAAAACCCACTGTGTTAAAATCATCATTTCTGCAAGGGAGAATGAAAGCTGGGGCACATCCCTGCTACCAGAAATTGACAAAAAGAGCAGGATTCCTAGACCTTTGATCTATTGATGGCTGAATCAACTATTGAGATAATGGTTTCATTGCTTGGGGCCATGTTACACTCAGGCAATACTTTTCCCCTTTAAGAAGGCCTTCCCATTACCCAGCTGGCAAAACAACCAGCTGCTTAATGACCTAAGAAGCAGACCAGGGCTCTCTGCTACCCTTAGAAAGTAAGCTAAGGGGAAGAGCAATTAAATGCAATTCGCGAGATTTGTGCCTTAAAGTCCCAAGTCAGACCCATCAAACTTGAGGTTATTAAACCAAAGTCTCTCAGTCCCAGGCAAGGGGAGGGTCCTAGAGGCAGGGGAGTGTCTTAGAGGCAGTCTGGACTGCCAGCAACACAGTGCAGGACTTCTCATCCATCACCTTTCCATTTTCCTGTGTATTCAGCCTTGACATAGGAAGGGAAAGTGAGGAAAGGAAGGACTTCTTGTCTGGCTTGCTTTGTTGTAGCTTCAGGCTGTTTATACACACTACTATAAACTAGAAGATGCCACGAGAGCCAGAAGAAGTTTCACCTCCACGTTCTCCAAAGACACAGTGTTAGTCAAAAGGCATATATCAAAGCATGGTGCATAGGAGTGAGGCAAAAGCTAAACAAAGAACTGAATTATTTACAGTTTGTCAAGGCTGCATGGGACCGTACTGTTCCCTCTTCTTACAAAAGAAAATGTTGGGTTTTTTTTATTTTTCTCATTATATATTTAAACATATTTGTAATCTGGGACATTTTCAGGTGTGAAGTTACATTTATGTTTTATATTAGCAGGCTGGATAAGACTATAACTCATTTTGCTTTAGGTCTACTATCCCACATTTAGAGACACTAGTACCAGGTCAATGGTTCTCAGAATTGAATATAAGGGGCAGCACAACAGAAAATATTTCCAGTAATAAAGGAAACATTTATTCTTCTCTATTATATCAACTCAAATAGCAAAATGAAATTTTGTTACTACTGTACTCAACAACAGTGATCAGAATGATTCAAACCCCAAGATATTAAATGAGTTAGTCAGGAAAAAGTCTCTGAATTCCATCATATTACACATCTTAATCTTGGAAAAGGAACTAAGAAATTTCTCCAAACAAATTCTAACACACCTGAAAAGTCAGAAAAATGTATTAATTTCCACACGTCTTTCAATAACTCTCACCATAGCAATGAACGCTGGCCAGTGTTAGCCTCAGAGACATCATTTTAGCAGCTAATTATGGCCATGGCTATCCAAATCTTAACTCCACTCATTTAGTGCAGCTGAGAGCAGCACCAACACCATGGAAGTAAAGGAAGAAAGCGCATATTATTGTCTCTTACCACGGTATAGATCTGAGGTTTGCGCCTTTTTGCCAGGTCAATTACGTTGACTCCGTTGTAATAAAGGTTCTCAATGCACCCGTGGAAATTTTTCCTCTGAAAGGTCCCTGGTTTTCCTGGGACAGGGATCCCTCCAAAACTGAGCTTTTGGAAAGAAAAAAAGACCAGGTTTTAGTTATCACCTCAAAAGCAAGAGGCCAGAAAATCCTGCTCCATGAAGCCATCCGGGACATCCGAGTCACACTGAGAGCGTCCCCTCGGAGCAGGGCAGGGCCTGGCTGTCCAGCAGGGCTGTTATGGGCTGCAGAGCATCATGGCTGCGTAACTGCTTTGAAGCACCTCAACACACCACCTCACCAACCTGGTATCTCCAGCCTCTAGTGCCCCAGGAACACCCCATGCACGAGGTAACGTTGGGATGGTGTCCAGCCTGCATTTCTCCCCTCAGCGTGAGAGCCGCCAGGCCCTGCTGGGCAATGGGGGCACAAACTCCTGTTGCCCACAGAGCGCTGGGTCACCCCTTTCCACCAAGGATGTCTCTGAACAGTTGTGGTTTCAGCCAGCGGAGGGTAGTATCACACACACCAACCGCCCCACTTGCGCCTTGCCACCATTTTCCTTAAATTTCACCATGGTTGGGTTGTTACTCGCAGGTGACATTTGCTACTGAGCAGTGTAAGGGGGAATGCAGGTTACACATTTACACAAAATTTCTGCTGTTGTCTAAGTATTGGAGGATATTAGTATTGTGCAGATAGAAGTTCATCCTGAAAGCCCTGGGAGGACAAAGAGATTAAGAAAACTAAGCTTCCAAAATCCATGGAGCACAATTACTTTAGATTCCTAAGAAAAGAAAGAAAGAAAAAACCCACAAAAACAAACACCAAACCCCCAAACCCCTCAAGCCAAAAAACTCCCCGTAATCCTATTTTCATTTTCCAGATGACACAGCTCATTTCTGATCAGCTCCACCAGCCTTTTTGGAAAAGTCTTGCTGATGGTGCCACTGGGTTTTTATTCATTTTTCCCATCACAGCCAGTAGCATCATGACCGGTAACACACAGGTGGGATCCAGCTGCCAGCACCTCACAGCAATTCCAGCGCATCGGGAGCGGTGCTGCAGTCCTGCTGTACCCACTGCTGCAAGGGCACTGCCAACGCACTGACTGACAGCTGCTGGAACCTGGTCGGACTTATTCCTCTGTCACAACTCCTAACAGCTCACTTCAGCTCATTATAACAAAAATAAAGGGAAATCCGGGGCTTATTTTTCCTCCCACTCCACCTAACAAGCTGGGATACATTATCCAAGGAGTTTTCCATTTGCTTATCTTGAAAGCACTTCTTTCAGAACAAGCCCTTTATGAACTTGCACTTCAGCCGTATTAATTGGTCACTTCATAGAAATAAAGAGTGAGCGTTAGTACTACTTTACATCACTTGCATGTTTGTTATTGGCATAAGGGCTTATGGGGCAGCAAGGTTGTTTTTTTTTCCAGTGAGAATCTTAAAACACCAGACTTTGCTTATTTCATGTTCTATTCTTTAAGTCTCCTGCTTAGGGACTCTGTACTGGGTTTCAAAACCAGAAGAAAAATCAATACCAATTATACTGTTGCATTATTAAGAAAACAATTTCCTTTGTGATCGGTAATAATTTTAATTACTAAACTAATGGGTTTATTACCCTCAGTAAGGCCTTTAATCCCTAAAGTGTGCCGAGACAAACTTTCAGGAGACTGTATTGCTGTAATGTTCAACTGAAAGATTGTCTCAGGGCAAATGGAAAGAAAACACATTGAAGAACTATGCACCAGGGCCAACGACTGAGTGCTGAGGTCAGTGGTGATGCTGATTTACACCAGCTGAAGATTTTCCCTGCCATGCTTCCTGTTTTGAAGTGTCTGGAAAAATTTCTGCAAATTGCACTGAAGCCTGAGTTTTCCCTAACTGGCATCAACCTCATAGCAGGAAGCAAAGAATTTCATTACTTTGAAATGAGGAAAGCTGACGACTTGGGTTTTTTTGGCTTTTCTCAACTCCACCTTAAAAGTAGTTACAGCTTTAGCCTTGCTAATTCAGTTTGAAGCTGTTCCAGAATTCCACTGTGTCATCCCTACTAAACGTGCTTGTGATTTGGAACAACAGTGTCAGGGGACAGGTACCACTCTCTCCACGCTTCTTTGTGAAATGCAAAGAAAGGAATTTCAACTGGAACATGAGAAGAGCAGAGAGCAGGCACCTGCCACTGCTGAGCCGTCTGCTTTTGTCCCTTGGGTGCACTGGGAATTGATTCTTTCCAGAGAAATGAATCCAAAGTGCAGAGGGGAAACTTGTCTCTTAAGCAATGAACCATGCCAGCTCAACACATCCAGACAGGGTGATGGCTCTGACTGTGCAAGCATGACCCTGCGCCTTGTGGGTTAGCAAGACTTGGTAGACAAGCAAGTGGGGATGAAGATGAACATGGGTAATTTGCACGCAGGTGTGCATTGGTCGGGGGGAATAGATAAGGAACAGCCTTGCATACAGATATTATGACATAAAAGCTTTTTAAAGGTATTTTTTACTATGACCCATAAGTACTGAATTGCTGCAGTGGTATGAACTGCACTGTCACACCTTGGTCTCCTCACAGGAGAGCACACCAGTCTTGGGTTTTAAGGGCAGGCAGGATATTTACTCTTCTCAGTCCTTGCTTGGCTGAGCTGCTCTGGCTCTCTAGACCAGGATGCTCCGTACCACAATCCCAGATGTGAAGGGCCATGGTTCAGAGCTAGCTGTCTTGACAGTCATACTCAGGGCCTTCCACTCCTAGTGGGAAGACAATGGTCTTTACCTTCTCAACTCTGTGTGGGGAGCTGTAATCCAAGCAAGTGGTGGCTGGATAGAAGCACAACTCAGAGCTGGCATCCCCATGGTCATGTCAATCAGATGCAGGGATGGTACACAGCAATCCTGTTAAAATCATATCAGAGATGCTGACACAGCACCTCTCCCTACAGATAAGCATGGTTACTCCCTGAAGATTTGACTAGAACTCAGGATATACTTTTTAGTTTAGCTCAAAGTCTGCTTTAAAGTGCAATGCATATTTGCTCAGAGACTGGTCATTTTCTGAGGCTATTGTACATAGAGTCACACTGACGTAGTCTGTTTGTTAACCATGAAAGAAGCTCTCTGGGAAAGAAATATTAAGCAAAGATCTGTGCTGGAAAGAAAGAGCTCACAGGGAGTTGTTTTCCACCACATTCATTTTACACCAATTCAGCCTCATCTCCCAGATTATAACCTAAAGGGCTTCACATACCTCATAATCAATATCCAAGTGATCCGAATCCCCCTTTGTTCGGAAATGCTGGGTGTGCTTGTCCACTGTGAAGTTGACTTGCTTGTTGAAGCGCTCTATGAGAACTGAGTGCCAGTGCTGGTCATCCAGGAGGCTGCCCAGGGTGACAGACGTGTGGCTGTTACTGAAGTGCAAATTGGAGTCCCCTGGAGGGGCAAAGACAGGCAGAAGACACCAGAATTACCTCGAGGCCCTTAACTGAAGCACAGGGATCACAGAGCAATGCTCCTAGATGCACATTAGAGCTTTGCTCATCAGAAAGAGACCTCGTCCAAGCTTGCCTTAGATTCTTTGGGCCTCTTGTTCACTTATATGTGTATACACACATGCACATGCACACATACGCATATTCTTTTCCCTGAAATCCTTGCAATAAATCATGAGGCTTTCCCAGTGCTGCAGGCAGGGGATCACTGCTCTGCCTGTGCCCTTGATTCTGCTGTGCATTTGAGACCGGTGTTTTAAGAGCTCCCTTCAGATTGCATAAAAATCTCTTGTCTATTCATATTAACAGACCACACTCCTGACACTTCATCTCCAGCTATGTGCGCTTTTTTATATTTTAAAAATATTGCGCCTGTTTTCAGAGAAAAAACGTCCCATGCCAGCGAAGCAGCATGAACACAAATGTTTTGTTCAGCTCTGAAAAAATTCTTAAACCTGGCCTAGACCTCCAAAAGTTTAGATCAAGAGTTATAAATATATTTAGGCCCTAACCTTGGTGATTTTGAGCACTCTGCTGTTTTTCAGCTGGCTACATGCCTGAACATTCATTTAAAGGGAGCCTGTGGCCTTTTTTATAATCCAGCAGAATGGAGGGAACACATGCTCCAAAACTGTCAGGCAAAAAGCAAGCAGACTCAAGAGTAGACATCAAAACACTGGCCCATGACATATGAATGCACACAGCATATCTGAAATGGCTAAAATCTGTGCATTTTGGACTACTGCTGAAGGAAAGAAAAATCCTTTTATTATCGCCTTTGGAAAAAGGAACATATTTAACTATACTATATTGTTATACGGGTACGAACCATTTGTAAGAAGAGGACAAATCAATGGAGTCAAGAATCCCAAATCAGAGGCTGGGGATGTAGCTACTTGGTCCACATTAATAAGCTTATATAACAACAAAAACCAAGAGCTGTGGCAAATTGTTACTGACATTTAAAACAAACACAACTAAGCATAAGGGGGAAAATGAAGAAAGGATTATTCTCATGTTCTGTTTTAGTACCACTACTTTATTCCCCAACTCATAAACAGGGAACTCTGATACTACACCACTGCTGGCCAGAATTGCCAGTCTGAGATCTGTCCCTGCTAATACTAGATGCTACAATTCCCATTTTTTAATAAAATCAGCCATTGCACTCTAAGCACCAAATATATGAACTGCAAATGGCTCTGATTACTTCATTCAAAGTTATTAAGACTGAGAGTATCAGTGAAAAACTTGGACGTTAATTCTCTTCCCTCTTTGCTCACACCCTCACGGTTAACTAAGAGAGTGGTTTTGCTTCAGCTTTCCTTCTGGCTGGGCCACTGAGGCTTTCAGACCAAGTTCAATACCCAAACAGGGAAAGTGCAGCTCCTGTGCTGGCTGGAGGATAGCACTGCATGCACAGAAACCTGCCCAGCTCAAATCACTCAAATGAGTCAGCAGGGACTGCCAGGCCAATACCATTGGTCACCCACAGACAAAGCTGATGAAGATTTTGCAATAAGGCTGGAAGAGGAGGTATGATCACTCCTGCCACAGTAGCTCCTGTCATTATCAGAGTGCTTTAGCATATTCACCAGGAAAAAGTAAGCATCCTTCTACAGAGGGAAATTAAGCCAGCCTTTCATCCGTCCCTCTGATCCAACATGATCACACAGTGATGGCCTTCCAGAAATTCAGCTTTCAACTGAAGCCATCTCTAGAAGCAAAGCAATACCAGCGCGCAAATATTTTTGATCAGAAAGTTTTCATTTAAATTCTGTATTCTCAGCTCAGTTCTGATCACAGAACGGAAAAAATAAGACACAAACCAAAACCAGACCTTTTACACTCCAACTCAAAATTCCTGGGAATACTATTCTTAAAAATAAATAAATAATGCAATTAAATATTTAAAAAATATAAGAAATAATAAAAAAATATAAAAGGGTAGAGGGGAAGAAGCAGAATATTTTACTTAAATCACTGCTTGAAAGCATCATCAAGCATAGGTCAAAACTTCACAAGCAGTCATTGAGCAGCTCTGTGTTGGTCAGCACCAGTTAGAACAGCCAAAGCCTCTTCTTGGCTCAGCCATCATGCTCTGCATGACATCAGTCAAGTCTACCCACTTTTGCTTCCCCTCCCACCTCCTCCGATCAGTTTTTAAGCTGTGGGCTTTCCAAGTCACACAACATGTTCTGTTGATCCCAAGCTGGAGTTTCTAGTTAGTGCTCAATATAAACAATAGATTTACAAAAGCAAACCAAGACAATCCTTGTTACAGTGATACATGAACCAATAATCTTAATTACCCTCACCCAGGTTGATGTGCAAGGAGAGCTTCCCTTTCTGCAGTTCCAAAGTAATGTAGTCCCCACGCTGTCCTTCTCCATGGAATAAGACTCCATCACCCTGCATGCTCTTGAACTTCAAGGAAACCACATCTTTGAATGTGCTCATAAGCTTCTGATTAAACCTGTACAGGAGTGAACTTCTGCCATCGAAGTCTGCAATATCTGACTCTGAGGAAAAAGAAAAAAAAAAAAAAGATGGCAAAATGAAGAGGAGGGGCAGCATCAGGAGAAGGACCATATTTTTTGAGGATCTTTTCGAATATCACTTAGAGTCAGTTAGAAGCAAAGATTCACAGGACTTATGTGGCATCAGGACAACCACATTTCACTCATTTCCAATCCTTTGCCTCTGTCTGGGGAAAAGGGAACACTAGGATAAAAACAGAACTCCCTTGCACTTGTCTTCCTTTCTCTCATGCAAGATTCCTTTCTCACTCAACTTTTTAGAAGAGAACAAGTGCCTTCATATTCAGCTCTCCAGAGCATCCCTCACCACATTTACTGCTTCTCTCATAAAAACACCCAGGATGTTATTAATTACTTTGAACACTTCAGTTCTCACTCCACTTCTTGTAACTTCACAAGCATCTGTTGAGCTGTTTCTGCATGTTAGCCAAGACCTGCATCCACCTTTGCATCCAAATAAGCATCATCATAGCCTCTGAGGGTTGGCTGCTTCTTTGTGATGGACATTTATCAACTATGTTTCTGCATGCAAATTGACAAGGCTGGCAGAAATAGCAAAATATCAATTCAAAAAGCTTTTTGAAGGGATTTCATGGGAACCGGGCATCTAAACTGATTATATACCTTTGAAAATCCTTTTAGAAACATACTTTCCCCTTCAGTCAGCCTCTAAAACCCAATCACTGTGATGGGAAACAAGCTTTCAGTTCCTCAGTTGCAATTAATATTTCCTTTGACAGCTGCAGCCTGCAGTACTCTGTTTTATAAAGTGGTATTTTAAGGAAAATGTATTTTTAATGAACTTTTTTTAAAAAAACCCAATCTATAAACAGAATATTTCAGGTGCTTTTATATATTTAACTAATACATTGTATTAACACATGTGACGGGTATATGCAAATTCAATTTCAATTTCCATCCAAATGCAATTTGACACAAATTATGCATAAAATATCACTTGTAAATAATAAATCTGTCAGTTTGTGTTTTCTGTTGTTAAGAAAAATATTAAAAACCAAGAACACCAGATGATGAAAAATATGAACAAGGTTTACCAAGCTATGTAACTACTGGGATACAGGCAAAAATAAAAGAACACCTTCATAGCAAACTACACATTTTAATGATAATCCAAAGCTATCAGTCTTCCACTTTCTTTTGAAAAACAACTGAAATGTCCAAATACAAAACAAGTAAGACTTTCAGGTTATCAATTGCACTGTGATTAAAGCTGTTGATTTAAGTCACTTAAACTCCCTTGAGAATTCTTCTATCCTTTTGAGCATTTCATTTGCTCCTCTTTAAGAACAGAAATAAGAAAATCTGGATTTTTTTCCCTTTTTTTTAAAAAACTGGGCTAAGATTTAAGGAGGCTTGCAATTAAAAACTATTACAAACTCAAAAAATAAAAGACCTGCTAACGACTGGTTGCCATGAAAACTACCATTGTTAACTCCTGCATGTCAGGCTGACAGAGTACAGAAGTTTAATAGCAGACTTACAAACTTGCGTAGGGCACAAAATTTAAATTTGATGTGAAGTTCTGTCTCTCCAAAACTGATTCAATACCAAATCAGAAAGCCACCAATGATTTCTAATGAGAATAAAACTACAAAGAAATTCAACTCTTGGAAAAATTCACTCCAGAATAAACGAAGACCAACTTCTTGTCTGTGATGTCAGAATTATAATGTGCCATTTAGCATCATATGTGGAACAGTTGCTAGTTTAGGAAGCATCATGAAAACAAAAGAATTCATGCCATCTGCTTTTATTGCGTTTTTTTTACTTCCGAAGTAGATGTTCAGAAACAGCTCCTGCGGAATTTCTGATTTCTCTCTATTGATACCTTGACTGCTAGTTTATGTAAGGGAAATTAAATCCATAGTTTAGTTCTTATAAATTTCCCCTAGCTACATTAAATACTTCAATTTGTTTAAAGTAAATTGCAAGTGTATCATAAAAATGGTTTCATTTTAATACAGGCAAGAATTATAAAATAACTTATAAAGAAGTTAGTCTTTGATTTCCAGAGCATTTTACAGTTAAAGTTGTTTTTCCTCCTAGCTCTCAAACCCAAAGATACTGTAAGAGAGCATAGATTTGATGTAGCTATAACATCAACCCTTTTTACTTCCTAAGATCCAATCCTTCAACCAGTCTGAATTCACACTTCAGTCCTTGTTCTTAACTCTCTGCTAAGCCACAGCATAACACACAGTTTCTTGAAGAGCTCTACCACTGACATTTACAGAGTATAACACAAAGGAAAACCTGCTTCTGAAAAGTTCTGCTTCACTAATTATCCGTTGTGAGTACACTGGCCAATAAAAACCTCTGAACGAAATGGGAATATGTCAAATAAATGCTAACACTGGCAGCCAAAAGACAGTAGTGGCAGTTTGCATGACAACAAATCGTTGGTTTCCTGCTAAAAATGGAAAAATACAGCAAGATTCTAACACAGCCACTCCAGAAAACCTGCCTGTTTGCTTAGTGTTTATTTAGTCCATATATGTCCTTAATCCACTTGCAGCAACAGAACAAGGATCTGAAATGTTTTAAGTCCCAGAAAACTTGGAGGAATAGCAAACAAGAACACAATGTGGTTTCATTCTGCACTGCCAGCTGGTTTACTTATGCTCCCTTAAGACAGACTTTAGTCTGGGTACTTTTCCACAAATCATACCAAACTCATCAAAAGTGATATCAGGCAAAAGACATTTCTTTCATGTTATTCTTCTCTGACCAAAAGTTCAAACAGATGCCTCTGCTGCAAATACATATGTACGTCTGCTCACAGGTGAAGAAGTTCTCCTAAAATAGAAATCATTCATCATGCTTTTCTGAAATTCAGTAGAGTTTCTGGCCCCAGGGGTCCTGGTTATATTATCCCATTTGAATTTCTTTTCCCAACACAGATCCAAACATTAAAGTCAATTGGGAGTGAGTGGGTGGAAACACAGGCAGTTGAAGCTAGATTGCTAGGTTAATTCGGCATATTTTTAAAAAGAAGAAAAGAAAAAAAAAAGAAAAAAGGTATAGGTATGTGACCACAGAACTCAACTTGTGGAATAGGCTAAGCTATGCAGAGAGGAGCCAAGCTGGGAGCAATGAGTTTACTTGTGCAGCAATTTGCTCCTGGCAGTAGAGAGGATACATCTTCATTCTGACAAAGATGGTTTTCCTAGTGATTTTTGAAAAAGTAAACATTTACTTGGCAAAGTTATTCGAAAATACAAAAATATCCACTAGGAACAGTAGCAATTTGAGACAGGAATTTTTGGTCTTGCATTGTCAAACAGAAGCTTTAACTCCATGCAAGACAGAGGACTGTTCCTGGTCTGAACAGATGTCTCTCCTGGCCAGTCACACTTCGCTGGCCTGAGTCTGAAGCAATCTGACTTCCCCTCTCCATTTCCCTCTCATAGATGCAATCCAACTGACGAATGTGGATGAGTGCCTCAGAGGTGACTGCTCTGCTATGCAGCTTTATCCCTATCACAAACTGTGGTAAGCAATCATTTGGGTATTTCTTTTACGCAGTTGGTTACAGGCACTACTTGTCAACGACCATCAGATCTTAAGTGGTTCTCTTCAATGTGTTCTTTTCTATCTCATAGGAAGAAAAAAGGAGGAAGGTTGGGAAAAAAGAAGAGAAAAAAAGAGAGAAAAAGAGATCCAGTAAAAATATCATTTAATCAAAAAAACACAATATCTGATCATATTCCCTGAAGCAATGACAGCAAAAGATGAGAAATCAGAGTCCTGACCTGTGAATGAAAAAAACCTGCTCTCTAAGGCAGAAGAAATCCTGTTCTCACACCTTATCATTGTTTCTCCTGTGGTTTCCCAGCCTATTAACTGCACATACACCTGATTCTGCTGATGCATTTTGGGCTGTTCACCAGTTATACAATGTGATCAGCATCTTCAATACAGCTATAAATCTTACCCTATAAAAGCAATTGTGTCAGCAAATATTTTTTCTTGCACTAAGCTAACAAGACTTTTCCCAAGTATAAAGATATATCTATTCCCCCCTCACCACCTCCAGCATCAAAAGCAATTGGTTTGCCATTTGTCTGAACACATGCCCTGTTACCTGTTACAATCACAGTGTTCCTGGAGCCACTGCTGCAGTGGGACAGTGAGAGCTTACACATACCTCTGCATGGAAATTTCCATTTAACTCATCATAAATCCTTTTCTGAACAGGAATCATCAGCATGTGTTTTCAGATCAGGATCACCTTTCTCCTATTTCAGGACCTATTTTCAGGATGTCAGATGGAATCTTTAGAGGAATTTCAAATAAATGTAATCAATTTTCATTCAAATACGTATTTTTCTGTGTAAGAAAGTAAGGAACAAGTAGCATGTGTCATCGGTGAACTCCAGTTGATCTGATGGCCTTCGAGTGCTATATTGCACCGGAACTTCAATTTGTATGGGACAGGATCAAGTACACTCATACTTCTGAAACAGCTTTGCTGTTAAGAACATTTTATGTTCCAAAGTAACAATCTACTCTGGCAGCCAGTTAGAAGGTGAAAAGGGGAAAAAAAACAAAACAAAAAAAAAGAAAGCTCTCTTGTTTGACAGAGAAGTTTTTGAGATAAATTCAGAGCAAAAAATTACTTCTAGCAGGAGCAGTAAACAACAGTGAGTGCTGTTCAGCAGCACAGCGCAATCAAATGTTAAGTTCACCACTTTGGCATCCACTGCACAAAGCAGTTAATCTCTAATAAGACTCAACTGTTTTTTCTTCCTGTATCCTGGCAGAGAGTTTGGTGACCTACAAGACCTGATGCCTTCCACAGGCCCTCTGCTAATCAATCACCATCGAAAGCTACATTTACCAAAAGTTAGCAGAGGGTTATGTTCCTGGGACGTCTTCAGCAAAATACACTGCACAGGACAGGCACACTCCAAAAATGAGAGACCAGATCCTTGCACTGGCACAACTTTGCCATCGTGAAAATGCTTAAGCAGCAGCGAAGCCACAAACCTCTCCTGCATCTGTCATCTTCTGCTCAAATATGCAAGGTTACAAAGGAGCTGATGTGAGCAGAGACCAACCACAGAACCCCAGGCTATTTTGCACGCCCTGGTGTATCACAGCAAAGTGCTCAACTGCGTGTTTGGCACTGGTCCCAGGGTTTTAACAGATGTGCAGAAGCACATGGAATTCAGATGGCCTAAGCTTTCAGTGTCCCCAGATTTTTGGTTCAGCCAACCAACAAATGCTGCCACTCACACAGAAAGGATCTCCAGCTTGCCTGTAAATGAAAACTTCTGCAGTTTTCTGTCCCAGATATCTATTTAAAGCAACTCTGTCACCAGATCAGGTGTTGCTCTTCTAGGACATTTGTCTGAAAGGTGGAATGCACAGCCATTGGTCCAGCGTCATCTGAATTTCAACCTGTTTCTACAAGTAGGCTAAGAGGTAGAAATGACTGTGCAGTCACACATGGCCGTTTGTGCAGGACTTGGTTCATATGTGCTCCGCATGCATGTGTTCTCTTTTTGTGTTATACTTCAGGACTGGATCGAAAGCTCAAGTGACAGTGGAAATCCTTTCCTCAACTCCAGTGGACTTAAGATCAAATACCCTGGGTTTGTTTACCTGCAAAGGCCTTTAAATTATTCCAACAGCTTAAAGAGGATTAGACATAACTGGAAATTAGGCTCTTACAGGTGAATTTATACCACCTGAAGCTTTTGGTACAAGTGGGTGACTATAATGCTGCTCCCACTCCCAGCCCCACATCCATTCTTTCATAATCACACAGACACTTGCATGAAGGGTCACCTCTTAGAGCCAGCGCACATTTGGGACATTTGCTCTTCTAGCTCCATTTCCTTCCTGGTTCATTCAACAGCCTATCTCTACGGATTTTTTTGGACATTTTTTTAAAACTAAGATATTTCTTATGCCAGAATTGAACGTGGTGGATGAGCTCGTATACTGTCAAACACTGCAAAATGCAGTTATGTAGGTGTACACCAGCTCAGGATCTGCTGCAGATATTCTGTCAGTATAACGGTAAAGATGGCAGTTTATAAATGATCAAACTATTCTTCTACAGTGCTGGAGTGCCTGGGTTAGGAATAGCCAAAACTGTGAAAGTAATATAAGCAAAACTTGTAGACAGGTATTCCTTGGCATATGCAATTTGCCAGAGAGAAATTTGAATGGTACATTTATATAAATGAAATTAATATTTCAACACTCTCTAAAACTTTTATGAACCCCTTTATTTCTTTTCTAGCTTGCTTCAATCTCATACCTTAATTCTGCACAATCATTTTTATTTCCTATAACTGCAGGGTACAGGACAAAGATGAGATGAATACTTAGATGATATCAGCGGAAAGAAACACAGCCTGCAAATGACTCTGAAGTCTTCTTCATATCACAGAAAATACAACCACAATCACTACATGAAAGTAGTGCCCACATAGTATTTCACATGCCCTAGCACCAAAATACCTTCAGCCACAAAAGTTTCATTCTTCAGTTCAAGTTCTATTTGTTTCACGTCTATGTGGAATGTACTCTTTACTGAACAGGTTTGGTCATCATTAAGAGAAGAAAGGTCTTTGAAAACAGATGAGACAGGTACTTTGGAATTATGTCATCAAGGGCAGTTGGTTTTGATTTATAGGTTTCAGTTCCCATGTCTACTGGTAGGGTTGAAAAAAGCCTCTTACCCTAGTGATTACCCATCCAGACCAGGCTGTTGCAGGTCTGTACTTAAATGAATGACAGTCCGCAGTGCCTGACCATCAAGGCGGAGAAGCAGCATCTAAAAAATGCTGAATGGATCTTTCAGATTTACCTAGACCATAACAAAGATCTCCCTTTGAAACCATGTGAATCAGTGACAGTGATGAGGGCAGAAGTGTTAAGATACTTTGCTTTCTGATTCTGCTATGATGAATTTTAGAAGTTTCCCAGTCAGGGTTTTTTCCACTTATCTTACAACTCCTTTTCTGCACCCAGCAGGAGCAGATAAGGACCTAAGCTAAATGAGGAGATGTACCAGTTACAGTAGTGCCACACGATGGTGACTTGTGCCACATCATGTTGAAGTTACTGGTAAAATGCTGTTAATTCCCTGAACTCTCCCCAGCAAGATCCCACCTGTCTCCACCAGTGTCTCAAGTCAGATTTAACTATTTTAGAAATAAACTCACAGCCACCTGAGAAACAAATACCAGACTTGTGTTTCATTTATGGTCTTGTTTTTGTTTTGTGCGAGGCAGTAATATTGGTCTTTTTTCTTTATGTTGACACTCTTCCGTGGTGGTAGGTCATACGTCTGCAGCAGTACACCAAGGTAACTAGGAGGCCAAATTGCCTCAAGGCAACAAGGTTTATAGGCTGCTCCAAAGCCCATGTGACAAAGCGCTGCAGACCATGTCTTTAGGGAATCAGCACCAAATATTATAAAGAGGAGTGCCACAGAAAGCACTCATGCAAAGACAGTTAAAGCAGCAGATGATTGCTCTCTGAAGCTATAAAGACACAGCCTCAGATAGAAATACTAGCTGCACAATCCACAGCACCTCCCTCAGCAACTAGTTACGTTGCCTTAAAAATGAACTATTTAAGCAAAAAGCAATATCGCGCCTAAACAAAGTCCTACAAAATATCCCAAGTAGCTTTGTGCCTTTTCAGTGGGGTGGGAGATTTTGCAGGATCTGACTGTCTTGCACTCCCAAGAAGCCCCAAATTGCTCTGTGCTGGGCTCAGCTCTGAGAAAGCTTCACCAGCTGAGCTACACGGGCCAGCACATCCCTGAGCAAGTACACAAGAACAACTACTGATAAAAATAAACAAGGGCCATGTATTTCACATTACATTTTATGTCATAAAACTTGTGCTGGACCCCTCCCACAGCAGTGACAGCACCAACAATAAGCACTTTGAGAAATGTGGATGAAGATGTAGCCACTTACTATAGGAGCAGCCGAAGACCTCAACTCTCAGTCCTATCCGCCCACCAACGTTCCACTTCAGAGGGATGAAGCGCAAGAAGCGGGCTTTCATGGAGTGCAGAAATTTGTGGTGAACCACACTGTCAGCGTTGCTGTTCCCTGTGAAAACCTGGAAGGACAGAGAGCCTTGGTGAGACATTTAGCACTGCAAGGTGAATGCAGGCTGTGAACTGTCACCCCCCTTCCTGATTCTCAGTCTCATAAATTACTTGAAATTATTTAAATTGATTGTCTAGATTTCTTTTAAGAGTTGCGTGTCTTATGGAGGGGAAATAGGTAAACAGCAGCACATAGAGCACCCCAGCCAAGGGGGGGATGTATACAAGGTGTTACATAAGCAGGTTGTAAATGAGGACGTTACAGTGCAGAAGATCCTGCATAATTCCCCCAAACCCAGAATATTCGTGTGTGCTGCACTACTCCATCAGCCCCTAAGATACCCACAGTCCCTTCAAGTGCAGTGAAGGACGGGACTCAGTTTAGCCTTTAGTGTACTCGGGGGGTCCAAATGGTCACAAGGCCCTGAGGTTGGCAAGAGCCTGGCAAGACAAACAGGGAAGTGCACAACTGGATACGCCACAGAAAATTCAGGCAAGACACAGGCAGAGACAAAAGCCTGACTCAGTGCATAGGAGAGTCAGCATTTTGACTGTGTTTGCACCCAAGAGCGTTAAAGCTTGAAAATAATAATTTAACTTTTTCTTCTTGCCTATTTGATTAATTGCCTGCAAATGCAAGCCAAAATTAATGGCCCTAGTCAGAATTATCACTTAACAAGAAATTCTCTCATGGATGAAGAATGACTGCAGGAATTCAAAGACGAACCTTATGAGTAGCATCCAAGCTGTGATCCTGCTTGAAGCTTTTTCAGTTCATCTTTAGACCCTTACTCTGTACTACTGGGCTAGGAATATCATAAGACTTCCTGCAATCTTCAGAACATTTGAGTAACTTCAGTTAAGACTTAAATTTGAAGCTACCAGTTTTGCAAAAAAAATGAAAGCTAAAGAGATAACTAAAACTAAATAAAGGCTGTATTTGCAAAAGAGGTCCTTCACTTTCTAAGCATAACACTTCATCACAAAAAATTACCAGTTTTTAATGTTTCTGCAGTTCAAAAACTAGTACCATTCATCTACACAACACAACTGCAAGCACAGATTGGAACAACCCCAGTAAAGCAGACCTACAACTCATTCCTAATGATTGAAGGATGAGTTAAAAGACATTGGGGATTTCATCTACACTCTGGAAAAAAAAAAAAAAGACTAAGTAGTGCTTGTTAAAATTTTTTCTCAGACGCAGGGAAACATTTCCCCAAATGTTGTTAAAAATGGTGTGAAACTTCAAATTTGGTGTGTTCTTGTTTTATTAAACCCAACGTGCTATTGTTTTACTAGAACTACATTCAATAAAAATATCCTTGAACACTCCTAAGGCACAATACTTTGAAACCATACCACCTGTATTTCACTTCACCTTAAAAAACTCTAACGTGGGAAAACTCTCGTATATGAAACAAGCCTTATTTTCCACCCAGTCGCGAATGCAAGACAGAACACATCTTAATTCCTGAAACATAATTTGCAAGTGCATATCATTACTGGGATTGCTTGCCTCTGAAGATGAACAATTTTACTGAAATGATCTCTCACAACTCCAGTCACCTCAGTGAAGTGAAAAAACACCCTTCAAAACATGTGATCTGTAATTTTTTTTTTTTTATGAGGAGCTTATCAGGCTGAGAAAGTTACATAATTCAGCCAGCCCAACTCTTCCGAAAGCTCTGTTTATTCGGCATGTCTTCTTGTGAACTTTTTTATGCACCAGATCTTGTCTTCTACATATATGATGTGATGGCTAACTAACCTCTCACAAATTCACACATTCTTTTTGGATGGGAATTCTTGTTAATTTTAATTTGAAGTTAATCACATACAGCAGCAGTTCAGCAGCCTTGCCCATCAAATATGTTTTGAGGAGCGCTACAAGTAGCACTTCAAGATGTCCTCTGCTTACTCATGCTACTTTACAGATAGAAGCCAAATTCAAATTCCAGCAGACAGTATTTTAGAGGTTTTTTTCCTTATATTTCAAGCAAAATATCTTGTTCTCAGTAATGAAACTGTCAGCAGAGAGTAAGTCTCACAGTCAGAGCTGTGGCAGTGCTCCCATTTTTAGTAAGACACTCATGGATATATAAGATGGATAAACGAGAGTGTTTTCTGTTTGTTTGCTCTTGGGATCTTGCCATTATGTAAAATTCTCACCTTTCATAAAATAAAAAAGAAAGAAAGAAGGAAAGAAGAAAGAGAACAAAGTGGGAGCAAAGAGCTTCCAGTCCTCCCAATTGTGAGGAAAAACTTAAAATACAGCAAGTAAAATACAAGCGAAAGGCAAAAACTAAGGGGCAAAAAGTACACCTTAATATATCAATACTGAGAAACAAGGTTCTATATTGTGCTTTTTTTTACAATCCTCTCATACAGAAGGCTGTCAATACTGCGTGTTGCATCATGGGCCCATAAGGTAATAATTTTTTGGTTTCTATTAGAAAGAAAACATTCTGAGAGAAAGACCAGGTTGAAAAGCACAGCACCTCTAAAAATAACCTCCTTGCAATTACAAAGTATTTGCAAATATGGCTGTGTGCTAAAGAGCCCACAGAATCCTGCTTGGAAAATAGGTAGGAACTCAGCCCTCAGAGGCACGCTGTGATCAGTGGGGCTCTCCTGGCTGCTGGAAAACCATAGAGGCAGTTCCTGACTACCTGTTGGCAAGGGCAGTCCTGAAGCCTCTCTTGCAGGGCAACCACGTAAAGACATTTTTTGCAAAGCTTGTACAAGGCGCACACACCCAAGCACCACGGGAGCATCACCTCTGCTCACACACAGTCCTCTGCCCCTGGGCAGATCGTGTGTACAGCACACTTCAGGGCTGCCCACACAGTCAAAGGAGCTTCTTGGGTTTGACAGGTAAAACAGAGAGAGCTGTACCCCACTGTCCACAAGCAGACCCAGGTGCCCACCTGCAGGCATCTGTGCAGGATAATTTTCTTCTTAGCACCTCAAGGAAGAATTGGAACTACCCACATCCAGCCTCCAAATCAGTCAACTCCAAATCTGGCGTGTAACTATATAAAAATGTCCTTCCCACACTGAAAAAATAATGTTGGTAAAAAAAAATCCTTCAAAAGTCCAATATATCCCTTATGGAAGTGTTTCTCAAGATTTTCTAATAACCAAAGATCCAATAAAACATTTTTTTGGGGAAAAAAAAAAAACACCGGCAAAGTTGCACCCATTGATCTGTGCCTACGAAATGGTTTTGCATGGATCTGGATCATCACTGCTCGCTGCTAACTGCTGGGTGTCACTGTGCATGCCTTTAGGATTGCTTTGATTTTCACTTCCAACTCCCACTGCTATATAGATCACCTTCTAATATTTACAGGCCACCTGTGGGCTGTAGACCATTAATTGAGTAACACCAACTGCCACAGATGGTCACTCAAAACTTAGAACCACAACTGACACAGAAGTAACCCATCCATTACAGAAGATAAAACAAGGATGCAGTACCAGATTTCCTAGCCCTGAAGGTTCAAATATTGATTAACAGTAAGCTTATCAGTGAGAATGGCAGAAATACTTCCTCTTGAAAAACGGCTTCTATTACAACTTGTTATTGATAGGGATTAATTCACATGAAAAAAACAAAAAATAGAGAAGAGAACAAAGCACACACATGCCATCTCCCATTCAACACAATTGGTCTGGGATGGAGCACAACACTGAAATTTGCGGTTTCTTACAAGCCCTGTAAACACAACCTGGAAAATTCTGCTTCTGGCATTCTATGGGGTCTATAAATCAAAAAGATACCTTAGCACCAAATACTGCCAGCAGCTTCTTGAAGGCAAAGGCTTTTTCCCTAGAGCTAGTGGTTGTGAGGTTAACAGCTTGCCACAAAGCAGGGCTGCCTCTTAGACCAAGGCTGTTCATGATGCCTGGCCACGTGGTGCCCTGCTGTGACACAGACCAGGGCACCACAGTAATATTTGATGAGATTTTTTTATGAGCTAGCAAAGGCAGGTCTCACTGGCATGAAGAAATGAGGTACAAACAGCTGCAGTGGTTTGGTGCAGAGTCCAATCAGCCCAGTGCTGCCCCTTCGGCAGTGGCTCTCAGCACACAGAAAAGATAAGGAACGAGACAAGCCTATACAATGCTTTTCTCAATGCCCAGCCCCCTTGGCTCATGCGTTATAACAATGTGAAACAAAACAGAATTCCAGTTTAGATGTAAAAGGAAATTTTAAATCTCAAAACCACCATCCATCATTACCTGGAATTTGGATGTACAACTCCCTCACGGAAAACAACAATTCAAATGAATGGTCTGTTTATACAACTCTCCCATTCAAAGGAATCCCAAAAGCTGTGCAAGGGCAGTTCAGGAAAATGTCACGCACTGTGGTAAAATATGACAGTTGTTTAATAACACTGCAGGCACACATTTGTTTCTTTACCTGATGTATTAATTCAGATCTATGCCAAATCGTACCAGTGAGATCTGATCTGCTAAATAAACTTTAGATCGCCCTTTGGCCAAACTCTTGGACTGGTCTCCAACTCTAGACAGACAAGTGGAAATTGGGTGCAAGAAAACTGTCTGCTCATGAATGTCTAATCAATTCAAAAGACAGCATCAGACGTGGGACTTTATCTCAAGTCTCTCCTGCATGCACTCTCTGCACAGCAAATGGCAACCTATTTACAGAGCTGCAGAAGGTTGTTCCCATAATGACTCCACTGAATGTATTTTGCTCTCCCACTTTGTTAGGCAGGTAATGGCATGGGTTCAAAATGAGTACGTAAGCAGCAACATCGGCACAATCAGCCCTGAACGGTGAGCAGGCAAGCCTGAGGTTAACTACCTTCTGGGGAGGTATTTTAAGATTTATTGAATACTCTCATTTCTGCCAAAGTCACTCTGATGAACTGAGCTGAGGAAAAAAGAAAAATCAGATTACGGACGTGCAGAGGGCACATAACACAGATGTTAGTAATTTACAACATTTCAACCTTCACTGAAAAAATACAAGCAC